ATCTCGTCCCAAATTGCAGTTTTCTTGTCGCAGATATTGTGACAGAGGAACTATGTTTGGTGACTAAATGAGCTCACAGTCAGCCTAGCTAAGTTGCTGACTGTTCTGCAAATCCAGCTCGTTGGCGTTCAGCGTACTGCTGGAGCTCACATTGTAGGTGATGGACATGTTTTTTTTACGTTCACAAGGGCCTGCCGCTGAGATCAAACATGTGACCCTCCATTATAGCGGTTTCCTCCACGGACAGATCTGTCTAGTCAGTTGTCTGTGTGATTAAAATATCCGGAGGTCTATTTCCATGACTCCTTTTGCTGCTGTTATCGTGATGGCCCATCCGATGAACCTGCTCTGCTTCCATCCATCTGCAAGACTGAAGGATGGACTGCAGCGCTCACAGAGAGGAAGATGTGGAGGTGGGGGATGCTTTGTTTTGATTGTCATTGTGACAGATTTGGTCTCTTCCTCTCTCTCGCTCTCTTCCTCCACAGAGCCATTGTCTGCTGCGCCGCTGTGTGACTGCCCTCTTCCTAACCCAGAGATGAGCTTCCACCTGTGGACAGAGGATCTGGATATTTGTGAGTGGCTCGGTTGCTGTGGGGGGTCTAGAGGAAGTTGTTACTGGCAGTCAGCTGAGGTTAAGTACACTAGGAAGGATTTACTGCACACTGGGGCTGAAACAACCTAAAAGAGAACAGAAAAAAATAGCCATTAAAAGTCAAATTTAACCTGGAATATGTTTTCGAATTATGTTTTTGCTCTTTCCTGAATGGTTTTGTTGTTCGGTGGCAGAAATATTTGTTTTTTTCTGGTCATCAAAGACATCACTAGTAAATGGCCCCGGTTTTCTTATCACTGGCAAGTAGTCATTTTGCAGAGAAGCGCCTTTTTGTACACTGTGACACAAAATCACACAGAGAAATCCTTTCCAAATCAAAGTTTACTCATGTACAGTAGCCCCATTGTCCAATTAGAATGGATTAATTTGTGCAGCTTAACCACGGCATGGGGCATTTGAAAGTCACGCTGAAATATTTCAGAAATGACTAAAGTGAAAAATTAGAAGGAGCAGCTTGAAAGTGTGAGCGTACAAGAATAGCATTTACCAGAATATGAGAGGACAGATTGTTCCTCAACTTTGAACTTGGTAGAACTTGAAAAAACAACTTGCAACAAACTGATCTGAGCAGCTATTGCCTGACCCTGAGTCATGTGCGCATCTACAGTGTGGTCTTCAGACTCTCACATTACAGTCAGGGTGTAAATCAATACATTCAGTAGACTCTGTGACAGCTGTGATAGCTTCATGTGATTTTTGATTCAACGGGATATGCCCCCGCCTGCACTCGATCCTCAATAAGGTCACTGTATAATCACACACACACACTGCTGACTGGAAATAAAGGAGAGCGATTGTTTCCTGTGTGCTGTATGTGTTTGCATTAACAAGCATTAAAGGCTGAGGTGTCACAAGGCAGCCACTGACCAAATGTGCGAACGCCGTCCCTGCAGGAGGGTGAATAGATCCCTCAGATGGATGCAGCTAAGTCCCCTTGTCGACGAACTGTAGTGCCGAGGAAGAAAGTGCATGTGTGCCCTGCGGCTCCGCAATAAAACACAGATCAGAAAACTCATGTCTGCGGTGCGTTTATGACGAGGCATGAGGCTGCATGTGAAGCGCGCACGTTTTTGTGTACACATGACAGCTGTCAGAAAGCAGCTGTTAATGAAAGGACTATGCGTCGATGTGCGCTGTGTTGAGTTCCATGTGAAACGTCCTCTGATTCACTTGTAAATAACAAATGTCTAATGTGTTTGACAGGGCACGAGCTGACCAAGTGGTTCCGACCCAGGTCCGCCTCAGAGAATTTCTCCGTCAGCCAGGAGCAGGAGGACTTCGAGCTGCAGGAACCGCTCGGCGACCTGATGCTGTCAGATACCCCTCGGTTCTCGGTTCTGTCCAACGACAGCGGCATCGAAAAGGATCTGCCCCCCGGCACTGATCCGTCCCAGTCGTCATCCTCGGACGCTGCAGACATGAGTACATCATGCGAGCAATACAAAACGTAAATCTAACATTTGTTGTAATAATTTAAGCTTCACCTGTAGGTTTGCATAGTTTAGAATGCGTACCTTGGAGCAGAAGCGTGCCACTGTTATCCATCTTCTAGATTTTTGAGCCATAATTGTCCATTGAAATCCCCTTAAAAACACCTGAAATAAAGTCTCACAGATGTCATTTCCTGTTGGAAACTTGTAAGATTATTCTGCTAAACCTCATCGGTTGTTCCTCACTAGTTTCCAAACCGTATCTCGCAGCATTATTTCAAACTGATCATAGCTTGGAGTGTGACATTTAACCTCCTCCTTCTCCCAGCGAGCAAGACTCGACGACGCTGTCGCGGCGCGGAGGCATCAAGATGAAGCCATCCGTAAAGGACGGCATGATGCTGATGCAGGACTCGCTGGGCGACCATACGAGCCTCAGAGGAGGAGGGGGAGAAGGTGGAAGAAGACGAGGGGCCACCCTGCAGAGGCGCGCAGGAAGTAACGCAATGCAGAATCCCTTCCCCAAGCAGCAGAGGCACTTCACCGCCAGGATAGTCGCCATGGGGGACGACAGGGTGCTGGGTCGCCTGGCCATGGCCTACTACTTGTTGAGGTGAGGGACTCGTATCACAACATCTTAAAGCTTCTTAAACAGCAGCTGCTTTGGTGACACCAGCACTTGTGTGACTGAATATGTTGCTTTCGGTTGTTGCAAACGGTGATGCCTCATTTCTATTCCTTCACTACCCCGTCATGTAGTAGTTTTAGAGACATGGTTTCAAGCCAACAAACTGGGCGATGTGTACACAATTGCTAAAGGCAAACGCAGCTGAGATCTGCATGTAATTATGTATGCCAGCCTCGTGAATTCAGCTGCAATACAATGAGCATTCACACAAAATGAGGCCTTAAAGCCATGAGGATCAATAAGTCATCACAGTAAAAGGAAATAGATTGTGTGTCTTCATATTAAATCATAAATAAACTTCTTACATATCGCATAAATGTTCAGGTACAATGACACCATAAAGCAGTTTGATTACTCCAGCACAACATACAGATACTTTACTTTCTTTTTTTGTTTGTGAAGCCAAACACTGCTTCTTTTATTGCAAATGTCAGGTTTTGAAATCCAATACCTTCTTGCTGGGGTGGTCAGGCTGCTTGGTACAAAACTGCTGTGCACACTTTGAGCCTCTCACGAATCTTTGGTTTGGCCTTTTGCAGGAAAAGGGAAGCGCGGAGGCTTTTTCTTACAATGAAAGTCAACCTCCAGTTCTACTACATCCCCGTTTGCACGGCTCGAACTCCCATCTCCTCAGTCAAGGTGAGACAACTTCCTCTTGTCAACACGCCATCGGGTGTTGTGTGAAAGTCAAACACGTTTCCAAAGATAAGACAGCGAATGGCTTCTGTTAGAACAGAAGATCAGTATGTAAAAATGCCTGTTACAATGAAGTCATTGTTCGTTTGTTTTAAGTGGTACTGTACAGAAAGACTGAGATATTAACTATTTAATTTGGCTCTACCTGAGAAACTAGTTTGTCTTTGCTATAAATATAGTTGTCAAGCAGTAAAAGGCTGCCTGCTTCATCTTCAGTTTACGACTATATATCCTTGACTGCTTTTGCTTTGCAGATAGTTATTATAATATTAATCAAAACAAGACTCGACTGTCATTCCTGGTATATTTGAAAATGGTAGCATTTTTAAGTATCTGCTTTTAGTTCAGTAACTTTTATTCACTCCTTGCATGATGTCATTCACATTTCTCCCAAAAAAAAGTTGAAAATATATATTTTTTCTCCACCATGAACTTACGCTTTCATCAGTCTGAGCTTTTTGCTGCTGCCCTGTGAAGACGGAGAATTTTACAAACAGATTTTTTACAAATTGTGAGAACCTCTCAGACATTCAGTAACTTACTGTCGTTTAGTTTCATGTTTCCACTGTGACGATGGTTTGTCTTTAACATGTACACGTTCAGACACAGATTCCACTAAAACAAGAACCAATAGAACTAATGCGTGCAGTCTGTTGATCTGCAAAGTTTGAGGTATTTTGAGTTCCACTTTCATGTTCCCTATTTGTAGGAAAACCTCCATCCATCCAGTGGGGATCCCTGCTCTCTTGGTTCCTACTTGAGCAACGTGGACCCGTGGTACAACTGCAACATCAGGAGTTTGGGCTGCACGATTCCCAAGCTGGCCAAGATGGTAAGATTCAGAAAGTCAAACCTAGAAAAGATAAACTCTTTATGGTTAAGAGAGTGAAAGTATGCACAGCCTTGTAGTCGTTGTGTTGCACATGTACGCAGCAACTGTTTTTGTCAGAAGATGAAACACAGGAAGTTACACAACATCTTACTTACAGTGAGGAATCTAGTGTACCCTGATTTGACTGAAACCACAACTCGGTTGAACTCAAAGACGTCTTGAAGCTGCTCTGACTCTGTAGGCTTAAACAGGAAATAGAATGACAGTGAAACTGGAAAAACAAAATGCAAAAACGAAAATACTATAATTGGAGTTGAACATCGTAATATGAAAATGAATTACAGTGGAAGATGGAACAAACTTTTCTTTTTCTTGAGACAATAAATACTGTTAGAATTAGGAATGTATGAAAAAGCTGTTTAGGGTGGTTTTAGAAAACAGTGAGAACACTCTTGTTCAGACCGTTCCTTGTTGCTGTCCTCATACTTCGCTGGAGTAAATGTGGTTTGTAATGCAAAGCTCAAGGTGACAGCTTTAGAGGGGTTGTGTAAGTAAAACGTGACACTGGGCTGTTCAATCTACATAAATTAGCGAACACTTTCTTATTACCTCACAAGCGATGATCTTTAGTGACCCACAGTATTCTTGACATAACCCAAGTGTGACCAGATTAAAACTGGGGTGATATATGCATGCAGGCAGACATTAATTCAAGTACATGACTTCTGTCTTTGTCTCTAGCAAAGAGAAAACCCTGGAAGGCCAAAAGATCCCTTCATCTCAGATGTCATTTCCTACTACGTCCGCAGCGGCCAGCAGCCTGTCTACTTCACCATCTACTTTGTTAAGGTAGAATGACGAGTTTTATGTGGTGGTTGTTGCTCCTTCTGCGCTCCCCACTCGTCTACAATCACACTTTCCAAAATATCTACCGGCTTTTAATAGCTGCTTCATTTCTACTAGATCACATTCCCACAAGATGTGGGAAAGAATTCTGAGGAAACGGTGTTCCTGACACATCTGGAGGTGGACTTTCCTGAATTCAGACAGATCTCAGCATCAGTTAGAGGTGAGTTAGACACATGTGCATTGTGTTTTTATTTGTGTGTGTGTGGGCGCATACCCTCTTTTCTGTATCAAGTTTAACAACATGCCTCAAACTCTCCGACAGATAAACAGAAGAAGAGTTCAGGGGAAGTATGCGGCGCCGTCGTGTCAATGAATTACACAAAGGTAAGTTGCTTATTTTAGATCCATTATTTCCTCATTAGATTACTGTGTGCATACTGGTGTAGCCAAAAGGTGTATCAGTTCCCAGAAGAACTGCTGAAAAGTTCCATGTCTAGGTTTTGTGTGTGTGTGTCTTTGTGTAAAAGCGTGACCTCTGTTGTGTTTGCATGTTTGTGTCCAGGTGACGCTGAGCGGCCGAGACATTGATAAAGGAATATCGGTCAGGATGACAGGAGCTCAGATCAGCGCCATTCCTTCCAGCAAAGCAGAAGGTTCAGTATTTTTAATTTACAGACAGTAATTAACACTTTAAAAAAAATATTTTTCTGTGTGTTAATCTAACGCTCCATATGTTCTGTCATCATTTATCTCACAGATCTCAACTGTTTGACACTGACATTAAATGAATCCCCAACAAAAACTAAAAACAACGTCGTGGTAAGTCAAGGCAACACCACAGACAAAGACTGTGAATGTTCAAACTACTCGTACTATATAAATGTATAATGTATGATTTGTAATCTGCAGGAGTCGAAGATTCGGACCAGCAAGATTAAGATTCGCTCTCTGGAGTCTCGATGTTTCACAGTGACACTGGACAAAGATTGTCGCAGAACCTACAAAAATGTGCAGAGGTATGTTGCACTGCAGGTTTGCACCACTGAGTTCATGTCATATGAAGGTTTTGGTGTTTCATCAAAAAAAAAAATAGATGTTTGATGGAATATTACACTCAAAGAAAAAACCCAGCCAGTGTTTCAAATCAAGGTGTAATTTCTGCCTGTCCTCAAACTGCCTCCCTTTCTCATTCATTTTATTGACATATTCATTCATTTTCGCTCATAACACCTCGTTAGCACAGTCTTGTTGAATCTTAACCCAAACTCTCGTCGATGTTCAGCATCGAGATCACCCCTTGTCTGGACCCCGGATACTGCGTGCAGAAGAGCATGTCCAAATATAAGCTGGGAGACGACAAAGACGCCGGACTGAGCAAATACATGTGCAAAGGACTTCCTCTACCAATCAACACGTTTGCCGGCATCATCAACTGAGATGGCAGGAATGGAAGGACATCGTCTTACAGGAGTCTGATCTGACACATGAAAACACCGTTGACCTATAACGAGCTGCTTCTGAAACCAAAAAGCTTCTGTTGGGACTGACTGGCACGCATGGAAAAAAAGACTTCAACCTCAAAGCGACACATACAGCGCTAGTGTCACTAATGGAATAACCCGTGGGCTGACCAAACAGTGACGGGAACAAAAAAACAAAGTGTTACGCTGCAGGTTATGCTTGAACTTTAACAGTGTTTGCCTGCTGTCAATACTGTGAGACAGCATCTGAAAACTGGAATAATGCCAAAGAACAACAGTACCTTTGACACTGCGTAGACCAGCAGGGGAAGTAAGCAAAGGTGTGAACCTCCATCCATGGAAGACTTCAGGACTGCTGACATGTGGATCAGTGATCATGTGACATTATAAGATTAAAATCTGGTAAATTCACTCCACAAAGTGAATCAGGTTTAAAGGGTTGATTTTAACAGTTACTCTACTTCAAAGACACACTACTTTTTTTGTACTACCCTCTTTGGCACACACACACACACACACACACACACACACACACACACACACACACACAGACATACAACCTCACTTGACCAGCCAGCTACTGAGACACGTTTGAAGAACTGGTACGATGACAACTGACATTCACTGTTGCACTTGCCTCAAGTCAACTCAAGTAACTCGTTATTCCTGTACCTGTTACATAAAATAAGCTGATGCAATATGAAGACAGTGATTGACGTTAGCTTGGATTTAGTCATCGAGAACATTCCAGAACCTTGCGGGAACCGCGCTATGCACAGCGTACACATTATGTGTGATGTCAGGAATTTAGACAGAGTCACAGAAAGTAGCTGTTAGACTCGTTAGACTGCCGACTGATCGTCTCCAGAGTCGCCAGAGGTGTGAGGTTGTGGGCTGTTGGTGATTGGTGATTGCAACAGAGTAACTTGAGGGCAGTTGAAAGTGAAAGTTGCACATATGTCAGTAAACATCTCAAACGCGTCGGCTTTGAGGTGTGAAAATCACCTCTGATGCTCGTCCGCTGGCCGCGTCGCGTTTCGTGGATGTAAAGTGTGTTAAAGTGGGTCTATTTGCACTAAAGCACGTGTTGCATTGTCAGAGAGAAGCATGTGACACGACTGATGACCACATGTGTGATAATGTTATCACTGTATGTGGCTTATTTCTGGAACCATCCGCATGACATACAGTCATCATATGATATTCTCTGAGCTATAGAGGGCTGATCAGGATCTGACACATCTATTAGTTCAGCTGTTTTTATACATCTGTGTTGTTCTGTTACACGCCCAGCTTGTTCTCGATGAGTCCCTACAGGTGTGATGTGAAGGTATCAGCCTCAGGAACAGGAAGTGACGTGTGTGTGAGTATGTGAGTGTGTGTGTTGGCCTGCCAGGGTGAAATCATGGGTGTGAAACTCATGCTGTATTTTGCACATTCTTGTCTTTAGCGTCATATATATGTAATCATAAATGCAATTTTGTAAATAAATGATTTTGTTTTGTAAAACAGTGTCGGTGCGTTATGATTTAAAAAAACATAAAAATCTGCACGAGTGTCCAGCCGCCACCAGGTGTCGCTGTTTAACCACCGTCACATCTGCGTTGACCGCGGGCAGTGTTGACTCAGAGATGCTTCAGAGCGCTGCACACACACACATCATCCTCCTCACCTGCCAGAGCTGGTGTGGAGCGTCTCGCTGTCTCTCTCCCCCTCTGCAGGCTGCTGTGACTGACTCAATGAAACACAGCAACAAACCGAGAGACCCTCCCCTGTAGTTGTCTTTGCTGTTTGCAGCTGGAAGCTTGGAAAGAGAGAGAGAGAGGGGAAGAAGAAGAAGAGCAGGACCGATGGAGAAGAAACGAGGATCCTCTCATCAGTACGGTTCACTGGAGCGCACTGAATGGAGCAGAGATACCAGCAAACCAGGTTATCCCACACGCAAATACTGTTATTATTATTATGACTTGTGCTGAGTTTGAAGTAACCCTTCTGTTTGCATGCTCTCACAATATCAGTAAACCCTCCTGAGACGTCCTTGTGCAGCACAGTGCTTTATATTAACATTGCTACAGGTAGTTGCAGCATCTCGTCTGTCCAGTGAATTGTGATTTTTGCAGTGACATCTATGCGTTTTATAAGATTCTAAGGCTTCGATGGTGTGTGTCCAGTAAGTTTAACGGGATAATTCTGGTTTAATTTGGCCATTTTTATAGCTGATAGAACCAATCAATGTGTTTCTCTAGTGGCAATGCAGGCAGCAGCTTGGAAATGTCAAGAATCCACAGGTGTTTATTGAGTGTGTGTGTGTGAGTAAAGGTAAAGTGAGGGTCCATCGCTGAGTGAGCCACATGTGGGGTTTGCAGCATCTACCTTCAGGTTAGAAGTCACTGAAATGGTCATTTATAGGACTGTAACCAAGATTATTTTTGATTAAATGCAGCATAATTACCCTGTATGAATTGTTTTACCTTTAAAAATGGCCATCATCATCTTTAAAAGTCCAGAAAATCCCAAACTATTTTTACCTTTTGGTTTTAGAAAACAGAAAATCCTGACACCGGAGAGGCCGAACACGAGGATATTAAATTTTTTTTTTGTAGGAAAGTAACTGATTAATAAGTAACTGCTGTTCATTTCACTTCTGTGTGTGAATAATTGTACGATTTCCTGCACGCCATCTGTAAAGTGTATCAGCAGGTAGAGCAACGCAGAAGCTCTCTCCAGCCTCTCCATCAATGCTAAATGTCATTATTCTTCTTTTATTCACCTCCCCTCCCATTTCTCCCTCCACTTTCTGCCTTTTGGTTTCTAATCTGGCTGATCTGCCTCATCAGGCACAAAGCACAGTAGAGGAGAGAGAGACAGGGCTGGAGTCAGACAAAAGAGTGTAAACTGAGCTCATAATGTAATTGGCATCTTCGGGGGTTTGGTATAAAGAGCGGGGCAGGGTCGGCGAGATGTGGGGTGAAATGAGGGGAAGCGATGGGAGGTGAGAGGTGTTTACAGAGAGAGAGAGAGAGAGGGGAGAAGGTGTAAAGGAGGGAACATTTCAGATGGGTCTATAGTGATGAGTCATAACTGCTCAGCGGCTGAGTAACCTGTCCTAGCGAGCCTCTGCAGCGGAACATGTTGTCTCCAGCAGCCTGAGAATACAGAGCCTATAACATCATGTGTGTTTAACAGATCTGAACCCAGGTTACCGTCCTGTGTTTAACTCACAATCGCTGTATGAATGAAGCTTGGATGAGCATGAAGGATGCAAGCAATGAATCATGTTTATCTGGTAGCGACACAGATGTCAGTGGATCAAAACACATTTCATCTGAATCAGGTGTAACTGCTGCTGAATTCTCATCCAGCATCTTTACATCTTTGATGCAAGTAGGAGAAGGAATAATGTGCAACTCAAGAAGAGAATGTGAAGCGTTGCTCTGTCTTCATTCTAACTTGAGCCCTAAAACACCCGAGGTCACCGAGTGTCTTCGCTCCACTGCAGCCTATAATCTATGCTTGTGCACTGTACGCACTGCACTCGCCTCCTATGGTCACATGAAAAAGAAGTTAAAGCAAAGTTCTTGAATCGGACACTTAAGCGTTTCTTTGTTAGAATGCAAAAGTGCCTTTTTCTGCTTTTCATGGCAGAGAAAGCACAGTTGGAGCCGCAGTTATCGCAATGCAGCAGCTGTAGCTCAAAGCTGAAGTGAAAAAAAAAAAAAAAAAAGGTCTATTCAGGTGTTTGTCAGGTGAAACTGTTTGACTACGTAGAGGACAGAGTCGGGCCAGCTGATTTCCCCTGTGTTTATGATCAACTAAGATAATAACCTCCTGGCTCTGGCTCAGTAGTTGAGGCACAGACATGAGAGCACAGTTCTGATCTTCTAGACTAACTTTTGTTTATAAAGCAAACTCGTATATTCGCCGAAGGTCAAACTGTTCTTCTAAAATCAGGCAGAAGATACAAATTGCTAAGAAATAAGGGTGATGTAGCTACGTAGAAGTTAGCATAGCAAAGTCTGCACACTGACAAATTCAACTGTTTGAAAATGTTTATATTGTACGGAAGCGCATTGTGTTCACTGGATTAAAAAAAAACTTAGACACCCTAAAAGATCTCATAATTATGAGATGAGGAAAGATGCTGCATTGGCCACTGCTTCACTCAGAAAACTACAAACCCACGAAGAGGTAAATGCATTTATATGTGATATACGGTATATCACATATATGTAATACTCAACCTGCTCCCTGAGGTTTTCCACAGAAGAAATAACCCGTCACGAGTCTGTTCCAGGTACAAAAATACAAGGCAGTGAAACACCGGATTTTATTTCCCCCGCTCAGCATCCAATACCTGTGTCTGTTTGTTTTCTGCATATTCGGTCCCAAACACTGGAGGCGGGTTGAGGATTTTACTAAATAAAGAGGGCAGCAGGTGAATCTACAGTGTGTTCATGGTGGATTGACTCCTGAGAAATAAATTTTAAAAAACCCAGTTTTGACGATGACTGTAGTTCATATAATTACTGTAAATCTATAATAATAACAATAATGATATAGATAATATAATACAGTAATAATATAATTACTGTAACTGCACACCCATATATGCATTTACCTCTTTGTGGATGTGCAGTTTTCTGAGTGAAGCAGTGGCCAATGCGGCACCTCTCATAACCAAACAAACACTAATTTGCACGTCTTCTGTAAAACAATGTTCAGAACTTGTGACTGTAAATTACCATAAAATTGTAATTCTTGAAAAAAAATACTTTTTCTTATACACAAAATTTATAAAACACTTTAAAATTCATTATAATTTCATGATATATCTCATGAAAAGTATAGAAGAAGAAGTTTTGTTATGGAAAATTTCAGTCTGTTTTTTATTTTTTGTAATTTTTCCTTATTTTCCAGTATTTTTGGCATCTCTCTTGGGTTTACTATCTCTGTATGCAGTGTCAAAACAACACCATCAGTGTCTGTTTTTAATGTTGAATAGATTTAATGCCAAATTACCACTATAGGGGATGTAAAATGAAACTCCTCCAGAGTTGTGTCTGCATGTAAAGCCACTGTAGGGAGTCCGTTTATAGCTGCCAATGCTTTTTCCAGACATTGTACAATTCTATTAAAAAAAGGAAAAGGAAGACAGACACCGATACAAATGAAGAAGTAGTTCAAATGAAATTGTATTTTGAATAAGCGCACCATATAGCGATAACCATAGACATATATAATAAAGGCTAGGTGTCTTGTCCAATGGAATCGTACGGCCATACTGGCGGCCATCTTGGTACAGTCCGCTCGCTCACCCAGAACATTGTGTTGTCGTGGTACATGGACTTTTTAAATAACCATAACTTGCTCAATTTTCTACCGATTTTCAAACAGTTTGGTTTGTTATAAACGTCAGAAGTGTAGTTATAACACTGTGCTTATGGATAATGATGTTACACACTCACGGCCAGCAGCAATTTGTATTGTAATTATTTTGTATTGTATTTTTGTAGTTTAAATTAATAACGTTTGTAAGAAACAGAACCGTTTGTAAATCCGTAAAGATTTCAGCGAGATAAGAGTATTTACATTTGTGCAGATCACTCACCTTCCTTCACGTAACACAGGTTCTGCCGGAGAGCTTCCCCGAATCAAGATGGCCGAAGGGTGATTTGAAACGCCGCCTTAAGACATCTAGCCTTTATTATACATATCTATGGCAATAACATGTAACCGGTCCTCAGCAGCACAGATCACAAATCCTGGAACCGAACTGCCCGCTGGCAAACACACACATGTTGGATTTCTGTGCCATAACTCTACTTATCTTGTGAATCAGCAGCAGAAATGTTTGCAGAGTATGACATTTGATTTGTTGCGTCAGCACCTGCTCTTCTTGAGGAATAAATATCCTGTTGTCGAATTAGACCAAACAAAACAACTCTGCATGGCAACGTGAATACGTCTAGAAACAATATTTATCATCAGGAATTCTGCTTGTTTTCTTCTCTTTTGTGCGTTTTATTTTACGCCTTCTCTCTCTCTGTTGTACTTCTTTGTTTGGGGGCTGTGTTTAATCCCATTAACAGTTTAATACTCACAGTTCAGTCAGCGCTTTCTCCTCTAAGGTGTCAAGGTTGTCTTGACGCTGCGCTGACGTCAGCCACATTTGTCATAGTAACAGACTACAGAGCGTCTGTGGGATGAGGCCTCTCTGTATTTCTGGATGGCTGTTGGTCTGTCATACAGAGCAGTTGTGAGCCCCCAAACAAACCTCGGGGAGTGTGAAGACATGTAAGCTATCATGAAGCACTGCTTAATGCTGTTCTTCTAGCCTGGCTCATGTAATCTGAATTGGAACTACTTGTCTTCTATTCTTTTTTTTTTTTCATGCGAGCGCAGGAGATGTTTCTTTACTGCACTTTGAACCCGGGCTGCTCTACCTTCCCCACGGCTAAATGAGACTTGAATAGAGATTACACACTAAAGCTCTGCTCGGTAATGGTGTG